GAGTGCTATGGCATCAGCCTAGTTCACAGCAACCTCAAACTCCTGGGCTCAAGCAATTCTCCTGCCTCAGCTTCCCAAGTAGCTGGGACTACAGGCATGGACTACCATGCCCGGCTAATTTTTTTTCTATATATTTTTAGTTGGCCAATTAATTTGTTTCTATTTATAGTGGAGACGGGGTCTCGCTCTTGCTCAGGCTGGTTTCAAACTCCTGACCTTGAGTGATCCTCCCACCTCAGCCTCCCAGAGTGCTAGGATTACAGGCGTGAGCCACCGTGCCCGGCCTCATTTTAACATTTGTACTACTACTCTGTGCCCAGCACTCTTCTAAGTGCTTTACAAGTACTATATTAATTTATTTAATTCTCACAACAAAGTTAGCCACCTGGCAGCTGGAATAAAACAAACCCCAGAGATAAAAAGGAGTAAGATTCCACTCAGGTTTCAGTGGAGAAATTATAAATGCATCACACACATACAATCCTCACACTCCTTATAGCAAAACAAAAGTCCTATAACAAAAATGCTATTAATATCTCTTTTTCGACAATGGGGAAACTGAGCACAAAAAGGTTCAGTAGTTGCCAAAGATCACACAGAAGACCAGAATCCCACCTATAAGGAAGTCTGGCTCTGGCTCCGAGAACCTTTACTTTTAGTCATCATGCTGAGACTGGTCCCATCTTTCACACTGCAGGTAAAATACGGGACATGCAGATTGTAATTTCAGATAAACAACAATTAATTTGTTAGCATAAGTGTTCCTTGAAATATTTTGGTCATGTCAATAAATTGATTCATGTTTACTTGAAATTCTGATTTAACTGGTTCCTGTATTTTATTTACTTAATCTAGCACTGCTAATTTATTTACAAACACTTTCTCTGCCACATGCATCACAACATCATTACCTCATTTAATTGTCCAGGAAACCTATCCTCAGATGCCCCAGCATGTCCCCCACCTCACCTTCTCCCAATATTCCCATTTAGAGAGCTAAAGTGACTAGCTACAGTTACAAGAACATAACAAGTGGCAGAGCTGGCATTGAAGCCACATTCTCCATTTCTAACACTGGTGCATGTTTTCACGTTTAACAGGAAAGAAAAATGAGGAGCAGTGATACCACACAGAAATGCCCTTCATGTGTTCTCCTCAGGCCTAGCATGCAGGCCCTCCTTCAGGGATGGAGAAAACCCAGTGAGGGCCTTCCAGGATTGGAAAGTGGCAGAGCAGTGGAGATAGCTCTCTAGCTTCCGTGCCCAACCCCACCTGAACCCCAGGAGGCAGGAAAGAGACTGTGCCCAGACGCTGAGGGAGACTGAATGTGTGTTTGAGCAACTGCTGAGTAGGGAGGGCTGAGGCTCCTTGGGACTGTTCACCTGCTGCTCTGTGCGCTGGCAGCTCAGGCCCAGCTGCTGGGTTGTTCACCTGCAGCTAAAACAGCCAGAGAGCCCAGGCTGCAAAAGGCACAGAACCTGGGCCCAGGAGCCTCCCCCTCTCCCAGTTGTCTGTTGAAGCCGATGCTTCCCTCTGCCAGTAGCTCACTTTGCATTTTTCTCTTTTGACTCTGCTAATCTGCTCCCACCCCCAAATACCCGTGCCCTTCTTCCCTGAGATATGAACGGTCCTCACCTCCCCACCCAGGCTGCTGACTCTTAATAGGGCGCAGTCAAAGGAGTTTCTGGGCTGGGACCCTCTCTGGGTGCAGGGTGGTGCCCTGCTGGGTATGTGCCCCAACAGGTTTTTCTCTATCAGCCTTGAAGTCAGCCCGGAGCTGTTTGACCTGCCCCCAGGGAACTGGAGGCAGAGCAGAGCCAGGTCAGAAGCTGACTTAGACTAGGCTTCTGTGGTCCACTGGCCCTCAGGAAACCATGCACAAAGCTCCTGTGTCTGGGTTGACTGCTGAGAGGCAGCGAGGAGTTCACTCAGAGCAGGTTGAGGCCCAGTTCCTGGGAGAAGAGATGCTAGGCAGAGGTGTTTATGCGGGACCTAGTACAGCCTGGTCTTCTCCACGTCTGGGAGTGGCCAGAGTCAGAGACAACAGCTGGGTTGGTCTGCAAGAGAGGTCATCTGACGGCTGCTCAGCCTGGGCTGTACACACCCCCTGTCTGCCAGCCACACAGGAGCCAGTGCCACAGGGCAAGGTACCAGGCCACAAAGACGACAGCACCTCAGCTCTAGCACCTCTGGGTAAGCACTGAGCATGGCCCCTCATGCTGGGGAGACCTTGTTCATTGCTTGGGGGAGGAGGAATGAGTTTTCTTTTCCAACATGAAAATGCCTCCTTTCTTGTCCAGGCACCCATGACCTGCAAGAACACTTACTCAGATCAGCTCAGAGACTGCACCTGCTGACCTAAAGATTCTGGCCTGAGACTCCAAGAGTGAAAGGCAGACAACAGGTGGCAGCTTTGTAGGTGGGAATTGGGGCTTGCGTGTAGGCTTGGGCTGCAGGTGGAGAAGATGCTATTTGGAGTTGTCTCCCACTCCACTACTTACTCCTAGCACCTAACTTCAGCTCCCTACAGTGCCCCAGGAGCCCCAGCAGGCCATGGAAGGAAGGGACATGGACCTCGGAAGGGGAGCATCCACCTCAGACCAAGGATTGAGGAGCCTTAGCACCTTGGAGTTGGGGATGGTTTGGTTGGTGCTTGTTCTGGGAGCATCCCTGATCAATCTTGCTTCCTAAAGGAGGGGGCATAAAGCGGAGAAGGTGGGAGCTTTCCTCTGACCCTCCACTTCAGTTCCAGTTCTGGTCCTAACCTGCTAAGCAAGTTATCTTTTTCTCTCAGCAAGGGAAGGGAATGGGCAAGGGGGCCCAGGCTCCGGGATCTGGGGGTCGTAAAGAGCCAGAAGGGCTGGAATTCAGCTCAGCGCGGGCTCCTGTGTGCGTCCCAGGGCAGCCAGTGGCGCCATGTCGTGAGCAGCGGAAGACAGCACTATCCTGATCCAGGAGATCCTCAGCCACCTGGGCTTGCCAACAGGTAGGGCTGTTGGGAGTTTAGAAATTACTGATAACATCAACTCATGGCTGTGGACGAGGATAGGAAGATAGGGAAGTGGAGGGCAGGCCCTGAGTACGCAAGGCCAAGGACTTGGCTGAGGCACTGAGGGAACGTGGGAGACCACAGGGCCTGGCCCTCCTAATCCCCCGTACTCTTACAGACTGCAGCATGGGGACCCTGGGACCTCAGGACTTTCTTGAGCTTCACTGTGGGAAAGGATGTACAGAGGCTGCTGAGGGCCTTACAGGTCAAGGTGAGCCCTTTCCTCTGCATTGGGAATCTACCTTTTATTAAGCCGATCCATAGACCAAGAAGGAGGAACTAATGAGGTTAGAGAAATGTTTGTGGAATGCCTTAATTCTGTATGTCAAGTACCATAGTAGGTGTGTCATCCCCATCCTACAACACCCCTGTGAGGTAAGCTTATTATTTCCATTTTACACATGAGGAAACTGGGGCTCAGGGGGTAAGAGCCTTGCCCAAGGTCACACAGCTCATAATGGCAAGCTAGATTCTAATCTAGGTCAGCTAATCCCCAAATAATTTTTTTACCATCACACCAGACCCACTTTGCCTAATTTGGGTCAGATTTGCATGCTCTTTGGCATTTTTGCATCTTCTTTGAGATCAATGGAAGTGGGGGTGTACAGCCCCTGCTCCTTTCCTTCCCAGCCCTTTCCTAGGCCTTGTTCTCTCCTCCAAGGAGTAGGGGATCCCATTTCTCAAAGACCCTAG